TAAAAATTCACAATAGGCTAATTAGCATGCAGGTCAACCCGAAACAAAAAGCCCAGTTTGGATTCAAAAGCATAGCAAGATCAGCTGAAATCAGCCTGTTTCTTCTGGGAAGAGGGCACCACTCTGCCCCCACTTCTTGCGATTTTTTGGGTGCTAAGCACAGCTCGAGATATTACTTGGTTTTGATAGAAAGACCTCTTACCTTAGGGTGAAATGACATCATGTCAGCTCCATGACAAAGGGCACAGACAGCAATTAGCAGTGACACTGTGTGCCATCCAATTTGTGGGGAACATGAGTATCAGCAAAGGTCCACAGAAAGCGCTCTTTGTAGAGGATTGCACAGCACACAGCTGAGCACCCTGCGCATCCCCCTGGGTGCGTGCGGTCTGCCACCTGGCTGGCAGGGTCCTGGCAGAGTTAGGGCTGCCTGATAGACCTTTCTGTTTAGGATTTCGGAAAGTAACATACCTATGAATAAATTGTTATGGAAGTTAAGCTGCAGTACAGAGCCATGTAATCTATGGCTCACAGATTAAGATGTGTGATTTTACATAACCCTGTGTACCAACAATGCTATGCACTTAAAGTAGCATCATGCTGGGAGAAATGTGCAGTGAGAGGCAGGGTGCACCAGGTGGGGTAAGGTATTGAAGGGAAGCAGCCCAGGCAGGCATCATCAAATCAAAACTTGGCACAGCAATCTTACTCACAGTTTTATTTCCCTTGGCCTAATGCTCCTCTGCCTGCTGCACCCTGCAATACGATGTGCCCTTAAAAACACTTTATTTTTTGCTTTGATTCACGTGGACTCCCACCGTCTTCATATTCTAAATATATATATCACATAAATATATCTATAAATGCATTTTTTTAAATCTGAAATGATGTCTTTATTCTAGAATGTCTTTATCCAGAGACTATGTAATAGTTTATGTGGGTTTAAATTTAATGGATAGGAAACCTAAGCACAAAGGAGACAGATCATGGCTTTAGAGGGGCTGTATCAGTGTTACAAAATGGATTTGCTGTTAGGTGAACTGCTACAACCTGAAGTGTAGGCTTGGAGTTCTGCTGGCATCAGCGGGAGCTGAGGAGGATTCAAGCCAAGTCCTTTTCACTCAAATGATGACAGCAGACATCATTTATTTCATTTATCAAGGGAGAATTTAAGAGGCCTGATCACTCAGAAAACGCCGGCCCTTGTCCTCAGCTGTACTGAATAAAATGGGCCTTCACCGAGCTCCTGGAGCATCAGAGTATAGATGGCTGAAGATTCCCCCCACATGACCACAAACCTTTCAAAAGCTGGCAGCTAACAACAGGCTGCTCTCTAAGGCAGAACATTTGCCTTTGGATTCCCACAAGGTTTTCCTATCCCATCTCTTATTCAGGGTATATTTTGAACTGCTAGGGACTTAAATGCCAGCAATATTCACAAGACAGCAATCTCTACATCAATAGAGATAGTGCAACTGGGCTAGCTTTTCAAGTCCTGAGAGACATCATAACAGCATCCCTGTCTTGCCTTGTTCCAGGCAGCTGAATAGAGAAATACGGCTGAAAAACAGTCAAAGAACCAGAATTTTACTAGCAAGTGAATGGCATCAGTCATTCAGTGCAGCACCGTGTGCTTCTCAGAGATCTTAAGGATCCCAGCCCTGTTCCTAAACACTCAAATGAGGTCAGTAACCTGACTACATAACAAACTGATCTTTAAGTGTAATAATAAGGGAAGGTGACATGCTTCTCTGTATTGAGACAGAGACTCCCTTCCAGCTAATGTGGGGGAAGAATTCAGTAATGATCTGAGTAGTACGTTGTACTTTCTCTAAACATAGGCTGTGGTAGATGGTCTTTGTGCATTTGTTATGCATGTTAATTCTGCTTAGCTTTGTGATATCCACTGTCTGATTAAATTGTGCCCTGAAGTAATACTAGAATAAAGCTGTAAGTAGTTATTATATGCAGCAATGTCTTAATTGAAGAGCAAAACCATTTACTGAGATTTCTACAACTGCAAAATATGTTGATATTACTTGAGAAACAGCTATTTCTAAGCTCCAATTAGGAAATTACATTTATTGATTAAGGGCTGACATTGGATAACTTGCAAAATAGACAGCCAAAGATGCACTGGATCAAATCCCTCCTTGCATTTTCTGATTTCAGTCAATACTTTTTCTCCCACTATGTAGAATTTGGTGATACTGTCACACTGTATTTCACAATTTTTTTAAACAACTAAAATAATAATTGCAACTCCATTATTTTGGCACTGTTCATATGGCTAAAAACTCAAATAAACATGTTTAAATCTGCCATGTAGGAATGGCAGGAATGTATGTTATAGTAGCAATGTGGGGCAGAACTAAAGGCTTTTGAGGAAATACATACACTGCTTCTTTGCCCAGTGCAGAAGTCTGTAAGATCACCCAGAGCCCCATCTGCAGCTTGTTGGACACAAGCTCTCTCAAGGCTCTGCTGTTGCAGTTCACCACCCAGCCCCTTTAAGGGAAAAGAGGTGGAAGGTGGCTTCTTCTGGAGGAAAACTGCCCATCCCCAGTGCCTGGAGAATGTCTTGCTAATGTGTGCTGGGCTGACAGTAACAGATAAGACCATTAATCATAATTATTTGGATCATTTTCTTCCCCAGCTATAAAATGATAATGTAGAAGAAAAGACATTTGGAGAATTATTTAAAACCAAAACCAAGCTAGTGCTTTTTATAATACTGAACTTGTACAGAATGGTCAGGTACATCTGACAATTTATAAAGATATCATTTTTTGCTTATGTACTCCCTAGGCAACAAATTATAATGATCTAGAAAATGCTCTGGAAGTGTCTAAGCAACAGAAGAAAACTGAAAACATTTACTATATGACTAACTGCATTAGAGTAATTGAATTTCCCTAAATGAAGAGGAAGAATTAAATTAATGGAGCAATAGTTTGACAAGTTTGGCTTCAGTTACTACACATAAGCAAAATCATTACTTAAGCATATTGTTAATTATGTTCAAATCAAGAACAAATTGAGTGATAGCTGTTAATTAGGCTTGTGTGCACAAGAAAATAAGAGAAGCAGTAACATTACAGCAGGCTATAAATATGTACATGTGTTTGCACAATACTGTTATACAGATGAGATGTGGGTGTGGGAGAGGGAGTGCTGGTGGGCGTGCACACATGGAGATGGGAAGCAGGCACCCTGCTTGCTTTGTTTCAGGATGAAGTTGTTTTATTGTTTAATATATATGAATGAACACAGGATGCAATTCTGCCATTGGTTCACTCTGGGCCACTGATTTACCCATTTTTCAGTTAGGCATGCCAGCGAGGCCACGCAGAGCAGCTTCAGGATCTTTATGAAATGCAGCCTCATGCACGCGGCTTTAGCCAGTGGCACAGATCTGGGTTCCATGGGAGGTGATGGCCTGGTAACTAGTGGGTCATGAGGCTACAGTCTGCCAAATATTTTGGATGCTTAAATATATAGCATCCTGCAGATGTAGTAAAAGGCCATGTATATGCAGATGACATTAAAGTTTTTGATAAATGGAAAATAGTTTGCTGTGAAAAAATACAAATCAGCTTGTATGGAGCATCTCCATATCCCTGTCTGCTTTTCTAACCCACAAGTCATGCATTAATGTACATAAAGAGTCTAGGAAACAAAAGATGAGCTTACATTAAGTGATAGATTCTGTGAAGCACACTGTTATTTGTATATACAGACTTCTTAATTCAGCAGTTTAGCTAAAAGGATGGTAGCAGACACTCAGGCTTGGTGTGCTGCACGAGTAGGGAATGGACATCAGTGTAATCAGGCAGACATCGGCTGACCTAAATCTGCACAGCAGCATCGCTGTACTCACAGCAACAGGAACAGGACAGCTTTGTAGCAAGCATCATCTGTGAGAAATGTCTTAGGAATTTTGCATTTGACTTCTTGAAATTTCTGTTCCCAGAGTCTGGGCTGACTTGTGATCTGCATGATTCTAATAAAACTAAGGATACAAGTTTCCTTGGGGGGGTGGAAACCTGAATGTTATATGCTTTTGTGCCTTCCTGTGTCCTTTTCCCAAATCCCACTCGGTAGATTTTCTCTCACTCATTAAGGAATTGTAGTCTTTAGTTGCCAAAGATGCCTTCTGATGCTTCCTGTGAGATATTTCTCCAGCAATGTATACTTGGACAAGTTGATGTACAATTTGACTGCACCATGTAAAATAAGCCTAAATTCATAAATGGGATGATACTAGCTTCAGAAAAGGTGAATATTCTCTCCTTTGAGTGCACCAAACCAGAGCATTAGCCATGCAAATTGAATTGATTGGAACGACCCAGCCTTCTTCTTTGCTGTGCCATAAGAAATTACTACACAGGGAAAACTTTATTTGCTGCGGGCTGTGTATGAAGGCTACTTATAAACTGTTTGGTCTTCTAAAAGAAAGCTCAGAAATTTACTGTTGTAAATGTCCCCGCTATTCAGTGGGACATGAAAATCATTATCGTTTCTAAAAATTACATCATCATTTTAGGGTAGAAGAGATATTACTTCATATAATAATAATAGATTTAAGCATACAAACTGGTGCCAATGACCAGTGATTGTGGGAAAACAAAATGTTTAAAGACATCACATAACAAAATTCTCAGCCATAATAGTGCACAACTAATTTTTTTACATTCTTCTGATAAAAAGTCCTTCTGGTGTCTGCATTTTTTTTCTTACTACTTTTGTTGCTTCCCATGAAGTTATGAAGGTGGAAGAAAATGAAAGGTTATCATTAAATTGCACGAGTTATAATTTAAATAAAACATCAGTGTTAAAATAGTTTAAACGCTGAATAGACATTGATAGCTAAATTATTGCGTGGAAACAAGCTATCTGTGGTGAAAGACAGTTCCTCCTCCCTAGTGTCACTGGGCACATGCTCTGCATTAGTCAAGAATTCTTTCCTCGTGGTCTCACTGCTGACCTTTCTTTGCCAGGTGCTCAGCGAAGGCAGGGTCACCGTTTCCCTACCTGCAGGACTCCTCTCTGCTTCGGGACAGCTCAGACCTTGGCCTCATCACATACCTGACAGACATGGTCAGTTTTTGAAATGCAGTTTATTTTATTGTGACTAGTGGCAGCCTGTAACTAATAAATGGGAAAGAGGAAGCAGATTTGAGATGCACCACTCAAACTCTTTCACGTGGTAATAGTTCAGGTGCTGTAACTTGCACCTTTGCCTTATTGTCTGCTTCCCTGGTCAACTGCCAGCACAGCGGGTTCAAGCTCTTGTTCATGTCTTCTCCAGTACGTGGGCAATACTTGTGCTCTGACCAGTTTTGAGAGATATCCAATGAGGGCAAGGTTTTCAGAAGCAATTTGCACCCAGGAACACAAACCGAGAACGGGAAGCTATTGGGAGTTCAAGAGAGTGATGGTTCAGTTACGGTGTTTGTTAACTGGGAACTGAGCTACTTCAAAAATCTGTTCAAAAAACCAGATGTGTATAAAACACCTGTCATTGCCTCTAAAGTATCCTGCTGAACCTAAAGGCCAATTCAAAGTGTTCAAAATTTCCATGAAACATTCTGATAAGACTGTAGCTTAAGAAACATATGGAGCGATTTTTATGTGATTTTTAACGTTTTCATGTCATACTTTCATTTTTATTCCCACATCCATCAGCAAAGAGCACTTCTTTTAAAACAATAAAGGCATCATTTTGTATATATCCTATCCTTAGACCAAACTGCAGGTCTTAAAACAGCACATCAAATTGGGAAGGCCTGTTACCAGCACTCATTGGAAATCAGCTCTTTCTTTGAGGAAGGGAGCGAAGGAACAAAATTCCAATTTGTATTCCAGATATTACTAGGAAGTGTACCCGTAAAATAATATGTAAATTGAAAATAAACAACTGATAAAAGTTATGAATTATAGCCCATATTATTAAAAGTACAATTTCTGTAGCTGCTAGCAGTAAAGAGAGGCAAAAACATTTAAACCCAAGCACAGTTCCCTTTTTTCTCCATAAGAACCAAGTACAGCTAAACGAAATTAACTACGCATTAGAAAAGAAAGAAATATAAAGATTGAAGGAAGAAGTAGTATTAAACTATATAGCTACATGTAAAGTCAAACATAAGGCAACAAAATTTCAACTCTATGAATGTGAATGTCTAAAAATATCAGAAGGAAAGTAAAACCTTGATTAAGTATTGTTAGTTAATGATAATTGGCAGCTCTCTTCAGGGGGAAAACAACCTACAGCTAAACAATGAAATTCAATTAGCAGTTATTACCCAAGGTTTATAAATACCATGCTCTCTTGGAAATGCACATTCATGAATTCTGATCCTTATTACCCTAAAGTAAATACAGAGCAAGTCCAAGAAAATTACGTGAACTCAGTGTAGATCAGACTGCCATAACTGGAAGTAGATTGGCTGTAATCTTTTGCTGGTAATTCCCACTGAGTTGATTATGCTGTTTCAAAGGCAGTCAATGATGTGCTAAAAGGAGAGCCCCTATAAAAATGTCAGTGCAAACAAAGGGAAGATTAGGATGATTTCCCCAAAGCTGATGGAGTTCCTGATGCTCCAGATGCTATTTTGCTAAGCAGCCAAGGACTTTTTTCTGTTACCTATAAAGGGATTTCTGAAGAACAAATGTTTTGCTAAAGAAATCACTGAATTGCACAAGATCGAAGGTATTTTGAAGGCACTTCCCAGGGTGGTGTCTCACCCTGGAAAGTCACAGTTTTCCACTTGTTTCAAATCACTCAGCACCTAAGTATAATAACAGTATTTGGAGGAATGTTTCCAATAGACGTGCTAACTGCATACCACTTCTTTGTGCTGCTGCGTGCTGCCTACAGGACGAGCTTATCTCAAGCTCAAAAGGAAAGTGGTTGAAATAATAACAGGCTGAAATTGAGGGCACACTTAAACTACAAACTGTAGTGCTGTGAACAAACATCGCCAAAGTTGGCTAGTGAAAACATTCCAGCCACAATAGCAAGACTACCCATGTTAGGGTTATTTTTAAATATTGCTTCAGTGTAAATTTTATCTGTAGGATAAACTTGAAATCCAAGGCAAGGCACCAAATGCAACACAAATAAAATGTCAGCAATAGATTTATGTTGGATAACAAGGAGAAATCCAAATATTAAAAAATACGTATTCTGCTCTCTTAGTAAGCCTCTGAAATGTGCCTCTAGGCATAGAGTAGCTTTTCCTAACTGCAAGATCTTGGGTGAGAAGATGTGCTGTCCCAGATATCAGATGTTTTGGATTGCTGGAGGGAGGGAGGAGCTTTCTGGCAGAAGCATGTTTTTTCAGATGCATCTTTGAAAGCCTCTGCCTCCTCACACCCTTGTCCTTGCTGTCTCTCACCCACAAACTGAGATGTAAATTTTTTATTTCTGCTATTTTGTTGGGTGGTTCTGCAGATTTACTGATAATCCTACATCAAAAAATAGTTTGGAACAATTATGTCTGTATTAAAAGGAGCAGGTGTATTGGGCAAGGTGGTGTGTAGAGGGTTAGCCTGGGACAAACCCCAGGCTGGACCCAGGCAGGAAACAGCCAGGTGTGGCTGTGGGGCCCTGGACTTGCTTCTGGAGCAACCAGGTTTTGTTTAGTCCTGAAGGAACCTGGCTTGCATGCTTTGAAAGCACAAGTGATGTAAACCAAGTGTCAGTAAGTGGAGATGAGCAGATTTGCTTCCAAAGCACCCTCTTGAGCTGAACTACAGCTCTACAGTAGATGGGGATTTTAAAAATTCCGGATGACTTTTGTGGGACTGGGCTGTTAAAACAGATACAGTTTTTTGCTGAAGGTATTGACCTGCTGCTTACAGCTATTAGAAAGTCTGGGCAATGCTAGCTTGGCAGCTACAGGTGATTATACAGTTACCAATGGGTTATTAAATCTCCTCCAGATCAATGCCTCTTCTTCCGGAAATGGATTAAAAAAGTTGGGGAGGTACAGAAACACCCAAGGGAATTATACAGAAACCATCCTATATTTTTTAAAAATCTAATTAACTGTAAAGTAATTTCACTCCACAGAGACCATAATAGCACAGACATAAGAGAAGGAGCAGTAATTTGTTTTCCTGCCTATTGATTTCTGGAAGGTAACTGGAAGAGGCAGGTATTTTTAGTCCATCTTAAAAAGATAGTTTATAAGTAAAGCTTTTTCAGTACCCAGGGAGAAAATCTAAACAATATTTGAATGTCTTGTTTTGCTGCATGCTCTCTTCAGACTTTGAGGTTTCATCAGCAAGCAGGGATACATACTTTAGAGATATAAAAACAGGCTGGTGTGTGCTTTGGCATTTTTTTTTCATATCCACCAGGAGTATTGACTTTACAGCCCCCCACCCATACCATATAGATGGAAGGTAGCTCTGCAGGCCTACCCGGTCACCTGCAGAGGTGCTCAGGTCTGCGTTTTGCTGCTCGTTGTGCCGTCTTTTCTTTTCAGTTACACTGTCACTGTTTTCCAAAGAACACTGAAAACATCTGCCAGCGTTAATACCGGTGGGAAGGCCTTTCCACCCTGAGCAGTCTCCTGTCTGTTTGACAGGGATGTTCACGCAACCGCTTCACAGCCCGTTAGGAAATTCCAGGAGCGCTGAGGCACATCTTGTGCTGGCCACCACCGCTGCTGCTGAGGGTTGACACCTCCACTCTTGCAGAGAATGGCTGCCAAGGGGTGGCAGCCTGCACTGAATTTTACATGAACCTGTCAATATAGTATTTAACATTACAATTTTGGTGCTCCTCAGAGACTTAAATCACCAAGACATCACCTCATAATTTACTGCAACAGGAATCTTTTGTCTAATATTAACTAAATTCTGCTCTTCTTTATGCCCTGTTGGGTTTGTTTCCGAAACATTTCATGCACGTACAGCAGGAACATTGCTGATGAACCTGATTCTGCTCTCAGTAATAGTGCAGGAATATTGATTTAAACACTGGTGTTCTGGCTTTCTCTCAGTCTAAGGGCACTTGTAAACACAGAAAGTTCAAAGAATGGAGTCCCAGTCTCAAAATAAATACAAAATCCCTATTGATTTCACTCAATAATTTTAAAGCTAGAAGGAAGATGTGCTGATAAAGCATAACATAGAAAAGGGGGTAATTTTAGCCAGCGCATCTTTTTCAATATTTGAACCAGAAATCTGTCATAGTTTAGGCTTTTCTGGGTCAGGAACCACTCATCTACTCATCTGCCACAAGGACAGTGTGAGCTAGATTTGAATATGTGAAATGCGTGTTGTGCTTCAGATTGCTGTCAAGCACTCACAAAATGCATATTTAAACTTTGAAAGGATAGGAATATCCTTCTTGGTGCTGCCACATCACTCCCTCCTTGCATGTCTTGGTAACTTCCCCCACTGGTCTCTTAAGGACTCTCTGTTTAGCAACCAGTTTATGCCTCTTCCATCACCCTCAGCTAGGGAAATGATTTCAAAAACTGTGAGTCTGTGAGAAAAGAGTTCATCATATCTCGAGTTTTGATATTTCAAATGAATTTCAAAATGCAGCTAGCTACTTGCATACCAGAATTTCTATGCAGGAACACGAGCCGTGACTCCATTGCTCGCAAAAAAGCAGCTGCTTTGTGAAGACAGTGAAAGAATGGGACAAGGTGTTGAACTACTCAGAAGTTGGCAATGGCTTGACTGTAGTGGCAGGTCAGTTTTCAAAGTCTCTAACATTGTGAGAAACATGGTGTTTCTGAAAGGCCACATATTGATGCTTTTAAGCAGATATTTCACAGAAAAATATATTTTGCAGAAAATAGGAAAGTTACTTCTGATCTGAATCAGGATTACAAAAAAAAAAAAAAAAGACATTTAAGACATTTTGACAATCTTTCTTTTGGCTTGTCCACATCTAATATATCAGGTGAGTGTTTTCTCTCTAAACAAAGTAAGCTTTCCAGCTCAGTGTCACAGCATACTTGGTTGTGCTGTAGCCATAATTCCAGAATAAAAATCTGGTTTGATGTTTTAAGTCACCTCTCTGTTAAATGAATTTGCCAAAGTCTGACTGCTGCAGTTAAACTCCTTCCCACAACTTAGCACCCCCATATCCCCCCAAACACACACACACACACACACACACACAAAGCTACTTCAGCTGGCCTACTTCTTGCAAGTAATAGGTTTTCCTTTGCACTTAACTCATTGTTTTAATTTTATTTTACTCTCTTTTGCAACCAGAAGGCTACAGTTTCCCTAACCCTAATTTTTGTTCCATCTGCATCTAAACTTCAGGGTAGATATTCAGTGTTCTGATAAAGTGAAGCACTTAAGGAAAAATTCATATCAAAAGTCATGTTTCTCAGAAGTAAAAGCTAATATGCACTTTTGGGAGAAACATTACAGTTGCAATCCTGTGCACATAATGTGACTATTTATCATTGTTTGGCACTTTCAACTGGATGATTCAAGATTTACTTCATAGTTTTGAGACATTTACAAGAAGATAAAGGAGAAAACATTTGGTAAAAGATGATCCCATACGTTATAAATAATGACTTCTGTGGTGTCACCATAAAATATCTCATAATAATGAACCAAGGTGAATAATTCACACAATTTTCTATTGGCTTGAAAAATTAGATTATTTTTCAGGAGCTAAATGAACAATAAATTTCAGTTCCAAACGAGCAGCTTTGCAGGTAGTCTCCAACCCTTATGCAAATATTCATGGGTAAGGGAAATGATGGCCAACAGGAGTGCACATTGCTGGATGCTGTTCATACACAGTATGTCAAAGCAATAGGACCATATAAGTCACGGGTAGGGTGTGCTCCACCAGTTTAATAATTTTTAAGGGCTTTTAAAATAATTTTCATATACTCCTAAAGTGGTCTGTCAGTTCTGTTAGAATTATAATTACTTTTCCAATGACAACTAAAGTATTAAAGCACTGCAATCAATGAGTTTGCTCAAAACTTAGCCTTTATTTTTCCAGAGAGGATTATTTTCCTTGAAGAGTGGTTGTTGCCATAAGTTGTTCAATAAATGTGAAGATTTGTTACTGCATTCAGTAGCAAATACATTCTTGTAAAATGCACCTAGGTGCAACTAAATAAAGGTAAAGGCTAAAACTCTTCCTTTTATTGTCAGCAGGAATGACAAGGTATATAGAAAGCTCAGAGGTTAATACACTAATAAAAGGAAAGTCAGCCCCAGTGATTTGGTCTGATACATTGTGTGCTAGGTCTGTGTAACTCTATCCAGAAATAAATATCCTATTTGTTAGGAATAATGAATATTCATATCAGTGTCCTTCTTGAGAATTGTTACATACAGATGTGAAACCACATTTGAATTACAAACTAGGAGACTAAAGAAGGAAATTTCAATTTTTATTTTTTAAAGAGCCACCATTTCTGAAGGTTTAAACTCCAAATATGGAAAGCTAGCCTGTTCATAGTAAAAGGACAGTCTACAAAATTAAAAGAAATCTTAAAAAAATAAATAAATAATTTGTTCAAGAAACTGATTCAATACTGCCTGCTGTATTCTAGAATTATGAGCTTCAATGTTTAGTACTGAAGAAAGACCTAATACTCAATAAGGTGACATAAAATATATAACTTTGTCTCCCTGTCATGCATCTTTCATCCCCTCCATGTAACCAAAAGTTTCCAGTAATTAAACCTTCCAGCTGCTCGCAGTGCCAAGGCA